AAAAATGTTAAAAAAAAAAAAAAAAGGAAACCGTCTCAAGGGGGTGCTCTCGGGAGGAACTCTCAGTGAGGGGAAAAAAGAAAAAAAGAAGGTGGCGTGGCTCGATGATTTTTCCGACTATGCGTATGTAACTCTGTGGCATAAACAGGTGCAACAAACGGATGGTGTAATAGTGTAACGATGTGTCTATGCGACGGTTAAGGGGGCAACGGTAAATTTCCTGCAGGTGCTCTGCAAGATGGGTATGCCTAACCTCGCACGACACAGCTACGCGTGGACAGTGACGTGCGACGCAGGAGAACAAACAGGCCATACAATAGACGGGTCAGTCGTTCATGGAAATATGTACCCCCCGCGGAAGGCTCGTAAAACGAGCAGTGCTCGGCTGGGAAATAACAAAATGGAGGGAAACATAAAAAAAGGAAAGAAACATCAAATGGGGAAAATAAAATGTGGGAAAATAAAATGGGGGAAATATAAAAAAGGAAAGAAACATCAAATGGGGGGAAAAACGCGTATCACAATCCTCAGCAACAAAAACGAAACTCCTTTGCGGAATAAAAAAGTGTTTAAAAAAAAAAGTGGCTCTCAAGGGTAAAACTCCCAAAGGATGTGCACGTGGTGAGACATGAGGGGAGATAAAGTAAACGTAAAAAATAAGAGCGCTAAACTGAGAAGTTAAAAAAAAAAAGTTTTAAGAATACATTTACAAGATTCATTTTAATCACTGCACAAAGCTTCCCCCACCAAGCCCTTGCCCCTTTTTTTTTTTTTTTAATTTATTCTTTTACGCATTTTTAGTTCACCCTTTGATGGGGCCAAAATTCGGTGAATTGTCCTCCAGCGGAAAAGGCAGCTTCCATGCCGCGAAAGAGAGGTGGCGCCACCGGGAAGAAGAAAAAAATAATAACATAAAGTAAAAATGGAGTAAAATAAAACAAAAAGGAACGTACACACGTGAACCGTGACACTCAATGCTTAACGTGTGGTCGGCAGAATATAATACCTCTTGGCTACACCCCTCAAAGGGAGATTTTCTCTTTTCTTTTTTTTTCTTTTTAAAGTGCTCAGAGGGAATGCAGGCCGTGAGGCATGAGAAAATACGAGTAAAGAAATAACTACATAAATTTTCCCGCAAGTATGTGTCATCCTTTCTTTTTTTTTTTTTTTTTTTCCATCCCCACCGTTAGTTCATTCTCTCGCGTTGCACAACACACAGTGCAGAAGTATAATTCAAAGTCACGGCGCGACGTTCAAGCGGGGGGTTACGTTACACCCCTTTCCTCTTATTTGTGCAACTTGTGAGGTATCCATTTTGCGTGTGGTCACGAAGGGATCGTGTCACATAAGTCAAGTTAGCCCCTGAAACAGGATGGCAACAGGAAAGAAAAAGAAGGCTTAAATGGAAATAAAAGGGATAATTGTGGCTAGGAAAGGTGGGCACCACTGCGCTGACTGTTCTGCTACGGGCAGATCACTTCTTAACAGCCCCACTACCCTTCCCGCAACTATCATATCCGGATGATCTAAAACCCCTTGAGGTGCACATCTCGGAAAAACTTCATTTTGACAAATAAGTAGAAGAAGTAAAAGAGCAGCGCAAAGATAACAAGGACTAAAACAAAAAAATTGATGCATGCGATGATGGATATGCCATTAAACGCATCTACCTCGAACATGTTTACGAAAAAGGTTGGGACGTATCGGAAGAGATTATCGTAAAATGGGGAGGACCCGTCGTCCTTTGAGAACGATTTTACGTATTCTATGTACGTGAATCTAGCGAAGTAGGCGTAGAATCCATTGTTGAGCTCAGATGTAGAGTCGCCTAACTGGTCGAGGAAAATGTTAAAGACTTGAATGGGTGTTGGTTCCTCGGGGCTGTTTCGCTGGTTAATTATGATCGTCGCTTTGATTCCGTTCTTCAGCTTCTGTATGGGCTTGACGTGTATGCGCGTGGTGAGCGCGGGATCGATCACCTGGGGGGGGAAGCAAATGGGAAGAAAATGAAAAGTGGGAAGCGACGTGAGTAGAAAATTGGGAAGACATGTTAGGGTACACAAAATGGGCCGCTCAAAATGGGACACTCAAAATGGAGTGCCAAATCGGACGCTTCACCACACACGGGGGAAGGTTCTACTCTCCGCCCTACACTTTTGATGACCTCCCTGAGGTACTCGGACATGGAGCCGAACACATTGGTGTAGAACTTCTCCTTCTTCGATGCATCGTCCTCGTCATTAGAGAAGTCATTTTGGAAATGGTTGAAGATGCGCAGGCCGATCTTGATGCCCTTGAGCGGGTGCAGGCAGTTGTTTAAAACGCGCACATATGGGTCTGGGCAGAGGCACACGTATCTACTTTCAGCCAAGACACATTTTCCCGGTTCTTTACAGTTTGATTCACCAGATAAGATACACTGGTTGTTTTTTTCGCAGAGAGAACTCATCGGATTTCTTGAGTAGCCATCGATGCACACGCACCGACCGTTCACACACCTTTCGTTGAAGTAGCAGAATCGTTTGTTCTGTTCACAAAAGGGGTAGATACAATTGTTGGTTTGCTCCTTTCCCTTGCCGCTGAGCACGTCGCAGAAGCAGAGGAGTTTGCCGTTAAATTGGAATGAGTGGTTTTCTGCGCAGGAGGTGGCATCTTGTTGCTCACGCTGGTCAACCGCGTTGTGGTTATCATGCTTCCCATTCCCACTGGTCATTTTACGATAAATGACAAAGTTCTGGTCCTGCCTCTTTATGAATGCCCCCGCTATAGTGCTATGCTCATTATTTTTCACCTCGTTGTAGTCCCCGTAGCTGTACGAAATGACACTAATGGGGATGTAGGGGTTACCAAGAATGAAATACTCGTTTAGGATTTCCTCCTTGATGTCATATTCTTTATTTGTGAAGTGATCCAAAATGTCTACCCTTTTTCTCAGCGGGAGAAGTAGCAACAAGTTGTTCTTGCTGATATTGACCATAGTGCCACTGATCTTGGCAGTGACGATAAAGTTGTTCGTTTTGTCTCCGGAAGATATGAAATGAGCAAAGGCATAGTTAATGCATATTTTGGAGCTCTTCTTGAAGAAGCTCCTATTCTTTAATATATTATTCAGCATCAGTGGGATGTCGTATTGGTTGCAATACTTTTTTGGCTTTATAAAGACTAGGGGACTGATTACGTAGAATGTGTACTCTGGTGAGGTGGTCAGCAGATACAGATAAGTTAGTATGATCCTAGATTTATGAAACATGCATAGGTGGTTCTTCTCAAATGTCATGTCTTTGCAAATGTCTACTAAGTTTTCATTTTGAAATTTCCTCGTCTTGTAGGATATTTCCAGGGGGTCATTAAAAAAATTGTAGTTTTTCATCTTTTCGTACAGCTTTTTTTTATTTTTTTTTTTTTTCATTTTCTTCATAAATCGGTGTCTAAGCTCCAGGTACTCGCTCACTACGAACTCGCCCTGCGATTTATTGATGATGCTTTCGTAGTACAGACAGCTGTTTTCCTGTGCGGCGAAGTGGTTTATCAGCTCCTCGTTGTTTTTGAGCGCGTCGGGCTCGCCCCCCGGGGGAATCGGCTCCCCTCCCAAGATGTACTTCCCATCCAAGGTGGACTTCTCTTCCGAGGTGGACTTCTCTTCCGAGGAGTGCTTCTCCTCCGAGCTGTACTTCTCATACAGGCTGTACCTATCGAAGAGCAGGACGCACTCCGGCTCGTACTGCGCAAACGCGTACAGCTTGGTGTTCCAGAAGGTGTAATATTTGGTAATGTTGTGGGGGTGATTCCTCAGGTACACATTTTTAAATATTCGGTAGACATAAATGACCTTGTGTTTCCTGTTGAGCTCTCCGATGATGAATATAACTGACGCCATGTAAGAGACTATGAAGATGCCAAGAGAGTAATGCTCCTCCGATTTTATGGTCACGTGGAAATCCCCGAAGTGTCTGTTATCGAACCGGTTTAGGAAGGCAGCTATTGGGTCCACCAGATCAATTCTGTTTGTAGGAGCCCTCAAATATGCGTTTTGATCCTCGAAGGTGAGGTATGGGGCACTCCAGTTGGGGGCGTCTTCTTCATCTTTTTTTGGGGAGTCCACTTGAATGGCCCTCTCCTCTGAGCACAGCGTCCCCGATTTGTCTCCGGATAGGTACGCCACGAGGATCGCGTGGTGTATGTTCAGATGGCGCAGCTCGTGAATGAGTTGAATGTATATGGAGTTTTCCTTGTCCAGACAGAACATCTGTTCGGTGGGGAAGCGGCGGTAAAGAAGAATCGGTGAAGAAGAATCGATGAAAATGCAATGATGAAAACGCAGCGATGAAGAGGTGATGACTTAGCGATGGCGTAGCGGAAAGGGTCTCTCTCTGCGCGCGCTCCTCTCCATCCCCCTCTCCCATACGTCGTTCCCAAAGTAAAGAATTACGATGAGGTACTTGACCAGCTTCTTGTCCTCGTTAAACGGGATGAGGTTGTTCATTTCGTCGAGCGTCAGCTTCACCTGTAGGGGGCGGCGGTGAAGAACAAGGAGACAGCACAGTGAAAGTGCAGAAGACTGCGCTGGGAAGAAGCTTGTCCAGAATGCTGCAGACTTCGTGGCTGCACCACAAGACCAGGGACACATGGACACGCTGACGTGTAAGAACACGCATTGGAAGGTGTGTAATCAGACGAACATGCAGACGAGACGCTGCCCACCCACCAGGCGAAGCAGAATTTGTTGGCTCTCCCTGAACAAGGCATCCAGCTCGGCGTGCTCATAGTACTCCTGGTGCAGGTCTAGCAGGTTAACCAAAAAGCTGTGTAGCTGATAATTGTAGCAGTTAAAATTGTACAACATATCGTAGTGAGACCTGACAGTGATGATCTTCAGCAACAGAGAAATATGTTTCCCTCCACAATCGAAGAGAGCCTTGAAGAGCCTAGATAGCACTTGCTGGAACTTAACATAATTAGCTGATGGGATGACAAAGATATCGAAGACATCCAATCGAGTCGCTTTATTCTGATCGTCTAAATGATTGATTTGTTTTTTTGCTATCTTCGTGAAATAGGCTTCCTGATTGGATAACTCTTCCTGTGTAAATGTACTGATGTGGCTGAGGAGCGCTGCCTCAAATGGGATGTTTTTGTGGAGAGAGCAGTCCTTAAGCGGGTTGTACCTCCCGAAGAGGACGTACTTGAAAATGTCGTGGCTAAGATACAGCAGATATACATTTGAGATGATTTTGTTTTCCATTGTCACGACGTCGTAGGGCCTCTTCGCGTAGCTCGCGCTTCTGAGAAAAGGGGTGGTAGGGCGCGGTGGAGGGGAAGAAGAAAAGCAAATGCACAGCAAAGGGGCAGCACAGGCGAAGCGAAAGGCGAAACAAACGCGCAGCAAACACACAACAGACACTGAAGAAAGAGACACAAATTTAGGGTGGGGTGTGGCGAGCAGGGCGTCTAACGACGCCATGCACCCCTCTGCATCTTACTCGCGCAGGTAGGAAAAAATCTTTCGCATCGCCGTGATGTATAGCATCTTTTCCCTGCCGATCCAGCCAATCAAATTATCCTTCATAAAAAAATGCTTGTACTGAGAAAAGTACTCATGGGATGCAAGATAGAAAAAAGGAATAGACAGCTTCATGGGGTCTCCAAACCCTATGATGTAGTCCATTAGAATCAGACTTATCTGTTCCTCATGGTACATCACCTTGATGAGAAAGACACGATTATTCTCTCCTGTGTCAGAAAAGTTGTATCTTCGCTTTATCAGTTCATATTCCACACGCACCGTCTTATCTGTAACGTACGGAAGAGACCACTGACCATCCTGGGGGAGGTTTCCACAGAAAGTTACCTCGTCTAAAAATTTGATTTCATCATTGGCAATCAGAATGAATATGTTATTTCTAATAAGATAATTCGGATCATTCAAATCGAGTGTTGTCTGTATCAGATTGTTTAACTTCCTTTTTTTGTAATTTTCGTTTAAAGAGGAATATTTTAACTCTTGGTACCTCCCTTTATATTTATCGATGTGTGATAGGATGTTAAGGTTGGTAAATGAGTTCACCAGGAGCACGTTGCTCCATATTTTTCTTTTATTTATGTCCTCTCTGAACCTCTTGCACTTTTTCTTATCGAACGTGAGATTTGTCATGTCTTTGATGTGTTCAGAAGTTTTGCCTTCCGTGGGGGGGTGGGTTCTGTGCGGCCCGGAGAGGTGCCCCACCTTGTTCACTTCTCCAGCACTGCTCTTTCCTCCCACCTCATCTTGATCCCTTCCTTTTCGGTGCTCGGCAATTGCCCCCCTTTTCAAATTCATAAAAAAATTGTCGACCATTTTTCTATTCAGCGAAGCATCTCCGATGACCAGGTCAGTGGCTTCACTTGGCTGTCCACTTCTCTCCCCCTCAGCTTCCCCGCCGTCCCCTATTTCGTCATACGCGTAGTGTATCCTGTTATCGCGTAGGAAATTTTCTAGTATTATGTTTTCGCGGCTGTCCAAAATGGGAGAAGATTTCTGCGGCCAATTAAACACTTCTAATCTATCCGAGTTGTCATCCCCCCCGTGGTAGCTCCAACTGCGCGCAGAGCTATCCCGGACATTCACACCGTCGGTACCGACCTCCATGGAATCCCCCTTCCCTTCGGGTACGTAATGCAGGTCGATTATTCTCTCATAGGACCCCTTATACTCCGCCTCCTCAGATTTGTCATATATAAACGTGTGTCCATAGATACTTAGGAAGTTCATCTCGTCCAGGAAGAGGCAATTTATACAGGACCCCACTGCCTCATCGGGGCTAATTTTCCTCTCCACAAACGATTTTTTATCTTGTCTGTAGCGGTCATAATACTTACTGTCAAATTTGAATGTAGAATTGAAGGAGAAGCTGAATGTATTTTGCGGATCGCATTCATTGTCATGCTTATAGTATATTAAATCGTTGAATTCTTTTTGAACACACACGACGCGGTTGTTCCTGGCCGACGTTTCCACAAGCTGCTTGTAGTTTTTATCTGCCCACATGTCTTCCTGTTCTCCTGCCACTCGGATTGTCGCTTTTCCTATCGCTCCTCCTGCCGCGTCCGCCTCCTCCCCGTGGAACATTCCTTCCCATCCATCCTCGTCATGGGAGCCATATCCACCTCCCTTCATGTGATTCTCCTCATTCCTCGCCGCTATCACTCTGAGCAGAAGAAGGGAAAGCGGTCCAAACAGCATTCCTGTGGAAGTTCACTCGAGTTGGCAACCTGAAGATCGTA